GAGGGAGGGGTGGAGGCGGGCTGAAAGGAGGGAAAGAGGGAAGGATAGTTCTTTCCCTAAACCCTGCCCCTCCTCAATTAATCCACTCATTTCTCACACTGGCGCAGCTGTTTCGGAGGGAATGTCAGGCTGAGCAAGCAGGGTACGGGTGTCGAGCAGCCAGGGCCCCTGTGGGGTCGAAAGTAGCCCGCTGGTTCCAAAACCCCGATACAAAGAGTATGGACCCTTATTTTACCAATCCTGATAAACAAGCAACCTGCTCACTCTCACCTACCCGTGCAGACGCCGCAGTGCCAACCTGGGCTCCGACTGACACTGTGAAGAGGGAAAGAACGCCAAGCCGCCCCCACCAGGAGAGAGGGCCAGGCGGGCGCGTGGCAACCCCGGTCGCCTGCCATCCAACGCCTCACGCGCGGGGTTGCGGGGGCCATGGCGCGAGGGCACCCGGGGACGCGTGCGCGCGGAAAGGCGGGGGAGAGGGAGCGCCGCGCGCCAGCAGGTGGGCGCGTCCTTCCGCGCGCGTGCGCGCGCCGCGATTTCTCCCTCACGTTCCCCGCGCGTCGCGTCCCCTCCCCGCCGGGAGCGCGCACCTCCCGCCCTCGCGCGGGGTCTCTCTCGGTCTCTCGGAGCCGCACATTCCCCGGAGCTTCTGCCAGGGTCGTCGCCTCCGCCGCGGCTCTCGCCCGGCGGCTCAGCCTCAGCGCCTCAGCGCCGCGCCTCTGACCAACTCCCCTTCCTCCGCCACTCCCTGTCCCTTTCCCGCCCTTCTCTCCCACCCGGTCCACCGAGAGAGCCTGGATACGAAGCAAGCGGGCTTGAGAAGGGGGTTAGAAAAATGGAGGTGCCGCGCCTGGATCATGCCCTCAACAGCCCCACCAGCCCCTGTGAAGAGGTGATCAAAAATCTCAGCCTGGAGGCCATTCAGCTTTGCGACCGGGACGGTAAGAGCGGCCGGGACCATAAGGAGAGGGGGGCCGAGCCCGCGCCCAGGCGCCGCGGCGGACCTGGCTCCGCGAACCCTGCCCGTCCAGGCGGCAAGGTCTTTTGTTGTCCCCTCTGTGCAAATAAAAGCAGGTGGGTGTTCCCTTCAGCCCACCCGCCTTCCCCTCAGACCCCAGAAACAAAAGGACCCCGGGGCTAGCGCGTTGGCACGGAAAGTCGCCATCGTGCCCGGCCGTGGCGCCCCTCGCCGGCCTTGCCCGTCTGGCCCCGGCCGAGGAGCTGCCCCAAGCGAGGGCGCCGTTCCTGCCCGCGGCTACTGCCCGGGACGAGACGCTTCTGATCTTTGCCGCAGTCCGGATTTCCTAGGTCTCCCGGCACCGAAGGGGAAATGCCCTCTGCATGTTTCTAGTACCCCCCACCCCCCATCACACCCCTCACCCCCCATATACGAACACACTAGTTAGCATTCTCAGCTGAGAAACTTATCAGTTCCTTTTTAAAACCTCCCATCTTCAGAACCCTTCGCTCCCCCCCCCCCCTTTAGAATTCTTTTTTATCCTCTCAAAATGGGATTGGGACAACGGTTTTTTTTTTTTTTTTCCGTGAAGGGGCAAGAAAAGGAGTGCGTTTCAGCACCAAGGACAGCCACAAAGCTTCGTGGTTTGGGGTTGTTATTCGAGAAACGGTCAAAAATCTATAAAGAAAGTGGCCTGACATATATGCTGTGATTCAGAATATGTGGCGAATATTCACCAATGTGTCTTGATATTGTATGGCTTATTCTATTATTATTAAAGTTGGCAGTCTCCTAAAGAAGGAAACTGAACATCGGTCTGAGCGTTAAAGAGATAACCTAGTACTATGATAACCTAGTTCTAGTGCTTCTGTGTTAGTTGGAGTAGTTGGAGAGTCAGTGCTGTTTCAGTAATGTGGAATAAAACTTCATTTGTAAAAAAGTCATCTGATTAGTAATTGGCCAAATAATTGTGAAATTGTATATACGACAAAGGAAAAGCAACTTATATTTTCAAGATGACCCTGAACTCTTTTGGCTGTAAATAAAATTAATGTTTAACTGTATATAGAGATTATGACTTTAAAGTATTTTTTTAGGAAAGGTTATACTAAGGAATACTAATATGCTCACAATAAGGTTGTAAAATTTATCACTATGCAATCCAGATAGAGAGCAAGAGGTCTTGTTTCCAAAATCATTTACATGGTAATAACTTGGTTAGGCGTTGCTATGCAGTACAGTTTAGGTCAACTGAACACTGAATTTCTGTTTATTAATAAATTTAGAACACCAGAATAATTGCTCTTTGAAGATAAAGTCATTTTAAATAATTTCTGAAACAGGTGTAGTATGGATAAATAAATACTTTTGCAAAAGCTGCTTATATTTATTTTATCCTTAGACTGTTTTGGTCACCATAGTAATAGGTGCACATGTTTATGGCATCCCAAAAAATCATTATTTGGGTATTCCATAAATAACTTTGTGTTATTATACTACAAATTATTTTTAATATACCACATAAGTCATTTGGCTTTAACTTATTTGTGAAATGACTTTTTATACTCTTACCATTGTGAATATTCTGATTTTCCCAAATTGACTTAACAGAAAACCAAGATTCTAATAAAAGTAGATTTCATTTTTATTTACTTCAATGATATTTCAAAAGCTTATTACTGTAGTTATTAGAAATAGACAATTCATGGTTGTTCCTTAGAACCCAGTAATCTTATTACTTAAAATTGCCTTCACCACGTTTTGAAGATATTAGTAGTAATAATATTAAAAATATTACTTTTTTTGAACTTTACAGAGTTAATAGTGTAGAGTGCAAAAATTAATGCTGCATTTACTGTGGTTTCTTCTAGAGTGGTAGCTGTTTTATTGTGGTAATATTTTTTAGTTGTTTTAGTTCACATTATGAAACCTGCGAAAGAGTAAATTATGTAATATTTAATTGGGGGGATGCTGGCACTAATAAAATCTATGAAAATTACTACTTTTTTGCAGACTTTTAATTGATTAAATACAGATTAATTAAATAGGGTTTCATTTTATAAAATAGCTCATACCAACAAGTAAAAAGAGACAGGTCTTCTATTAAAAGATGTGAAAAATTTGGAAATAGTTTATGTAGAGAGGTTGTTCAATGCTTATTTTTTTATTTTGTGACTCTACATGTCAGTTTCAAAAATGTTAAGTTGACATCATAATTTAGAGGAGATAATATAGTTGTTTTTACAGTACAGTTTTAAAATGTTGCATTAAATTTTTCGACCAGATCTTATTTATCCTAATTTTATATTGAGAAATTTTCAGCTACGTAGATGCTATTTGCTCCCTTCACGTCTTTCCTTTTACTTCCTCCCAGGTCTCATTTTACTTCTATAAATGTGTAACAGAAAGATTAGGATGTGGCAGAGATATTTTATGTGCCTAAGTACATAATAAGTGCTATATTTTCATAATTTTATGATGACAGAAATATATTTGTCTTGTTTGCCCTTTACTTTCCTCACTTTATTTTACTGTACTGTTAATCTGAAAATAGAACAAAATGAGAGCAACATGAATTCCTTGGAAGTGGAATAAAGTAGAGAAGTAGAAAATGTAATATGATTGTTCCTTTTACTCTCTCCACTTGTAAATGTTTTAAATTTTATAATGTTATGCTTATTCCATCAACTAAGAGCTATAGTTGTTGGTAAAAATAACTATGCCTTTCTGTGTTTCCTTGGCTCCCCTCTTTCATGTTTTTTTCTGTCAGTTGCCTGTATTCACAATTTATGTTACTTTTCTTTATAGTTTCTCAAAGTATTTAATAGTCTGTGAAGAATATGGAATAGCGTCCAAGTGGTCATATAATTGAGCTTTTTAATTAGGCAAGAGGGTTCTTATGCACACACATTATCTCATGTGTGCTTTTATCCTAGGCTTGTGTGCTTTGGTTGCTACTACATGGTCCTGCTTGGATGTGACTTTAGTTCAAAATGATGATTCTGGATAGACTTCTATTAGGAAACCTCTGTAGATGTGCTATAGACCTAGTAGTTTGTATAAACTTCGTTGCAAGTAGAAGAGTATTTCTATTCCCTATCTCTGTGCTGAAGTATCCTCAGTTTGCATATATAATGTACTTTAATTGTGTCTTTTCAAAAAAATTGAAAGAACATTAATGTCTCATATGCAAGCATCAATAATATGGGAAACCATTTCCACTTAGTTTCTTTACATAGATACTGCAAACCCTAATTTACTCTTGATGAGACAAAACAGCCCTGACCTCCCACATAGAATTGTACATTACTTTTCATCTTTTTTTATCATGCATATGTATATAGAAGCTTTCTTTTCTTGTTGAAAAGGAAAGCTCTATGGAGGTGCCAAAAACATGTATATAAGTGGACACTGGTCAACGTTGCTCAAACAGTAGTTCACCATAATCAGAAGTGCCTGGACGCTGATGGTAACCACTTCGAGCACCTCTTGTAGCTGCAGAAGTCAAACGTGACTTGTACTCATCTTTTGTTATAGGTATATATTGAGTATTACAATTTTAGTAATAGTTTTTTTTACTTTCTTAAAATATGTACACATTTTTTGGCACCCTCTGTATGCCTTGCTTTACATGCAGCCAAGCTCCCTGCATTCTTACTGTAATAGTAAGGAAGAAAATACAAAATTAATTTGTTGTATAGACTTAAATCCATCCCCAAGGTTTCCAAGCTTTAACAAGTATTGTTTCCATGAGCAAGGCATTTTATGACTGCCTCAATATGATTTATGGAATTTATGATGCTAGTCAGCAACGAAACACGTTTTAAAGAAATTGCACAGAAGCTGACAGATTACCTACCCTCTCTTTGTCTCGAACAATAGTTGTGTGGAGGAAAAGAGAGGTTTTCTCCTGTGTACATAGTTAAAAAGATAAATTTCTTTGAATTTGGACATTAACCTATCTATTTAAATTACAAATCAGTTGGGACTTCCTTCTTTATGCTTATTGACATGTGAATTAAACAAATTTTAACTTTGGAAGCATAAAGTAACATGTGAATGCTTAGTAGCACCATGCTGTATTAGCTCATCCTTAATGACATTTTCTGAAGCAGACATCTAGGAGGAGTACCCATAACTGCTACTTTAATAGTACAGGAATGTAAGGTAGTCATTACTCAGTTTCACTGACATGAATATAGCGTAGTGGTAATGCCATTTTAGAATCAGAAAGACCTCTGACATAATATTGATTCCTGATAGAAATGTTTGTTACCTTGCGCAAATTAGTTAACCTATGTTCAGCCTCAAGCTTTCTCATGTAAAATGGGTATAATAATATTAATTCTGTAGTATTGTTAAATTAATTAAGTGAAATATTACTTAAATAGCATTTTGCACAAATCTTAACATAAAATAGAGAATAAGAATTCTTATAAATAGAATATCATTCTCTACATACATTCTTGAATTGAACTGCTTTTGATTTATTTTTTTTTGGCAATGTTTAGATCTTTATTTTTTTGTTTCAATTGTGTTTTATTTACCTAGTAAATCCTTCTTATGTCACTTCAACTTGAGTAGTCAATGGAAACTATAAATTCTGAATTTTTAAAGGACAATAAGTTTTATAATCACAGTTATAGTACTCCATCCTTTGCTTACACGTACATTTTTCTATCCTATCAGTAATATCCTTGTCAGCCTTAATCCTACAAACTGTTTTCAGCTTCTATTTAAAACCCACTGTTTGTTGTGTTTCATGTACCTTGTGACTTTGATACAAGCTTTGGGTAGGTATTTGCATCAGAGCAAATACCTGTTCTTGATTTACATTTTTTTTCTAAGGATAGATTTGTACTACCATATGTGACCTTTGGATTCATTTCTTTGACCCAGATATGATTATAGAGATACTGTAGAATTTTATTAGTGATTATGAAACAAAATAAAAATAAAATAAAAACTAAAAGAAACAAACAT